GAGATGATAAAATAAAAATAATAAATAAAATATTTTAAAAAATTTTTATTAGGTGGTAAAAACTAATTCAGTTTGAAGTTTGTATGTCACATAAACTTTAAAAATAGTTTTGTTATATATTAAAACCATACATTTCTATAGACAGAAACTAAATTAAGAGTTCCAACAAGTGGCTTTTGTTTACTTTTATAGCCTTAGGCAACTTACTTTAATCTCTTGGGCCTTTACTCTTTCCTTCATCAGGAGACAATCACCCCTAACATGTCCCTGGCTGCATTATCTCCATCCGACAGACAAAAAAACAAAAAACAAAAACAAAAACCCACAGAAACACATGCCTAATAGACACACAACAAAGGAATAACACGATCCTGGCTCTCTTATTTAATCTCATTTCCTTCTGCTCCTAGCCTGCCTCAGAGGAGCAACTGGACCATGACTGCTTTAAAAACCTTGCAGTGGATGCTGGGCATGGTGGCCCACGCCTTTAATCCCAGCTCTAGGGAGGCAGAGGCAGACAGATCTCTATGAGATTGAGGCCAGCCTGATCTATATAGTGAGTTCCAGGTGGGCTGGGGCTGGGGAGAGCCTGTCAATAAACAATAATAAAATAATAATAATAATGTGCAGTGGAGATCAGCATGACTTGAGAGGTATCATCACCAGTGGCAGTTTCCTAACAGGATGCTGACTGTGTATACACCTCACTTCCTCGTCTTAATCAAATCCTGCCAATTCCCACAGCCCTCACCAGAGACTCTCCAAGCCACTCACGTGGGTCCTTCTCTCCTTTGGGGTGAAATCGAGGCTGCTGGTTTCCTCACCCGACCGTGTATGTAGCCTCCACCCACGTAGCTGGTATTCAAAGGCAAGTGGGAGCCCAGGACACAACTACGGGAGAGCCAGAGGGAGTGAAGGCATCTCTGGGTTCCCCGAGGCTTCTGGTGAAGGGAGGCTTAATGATGCCGAGCGGAGGCAGAGCCCAAGCCTCTAGGTTCACCCTGCACTGAGGCTCCAGTCAGAACAGCACATTCATCTCCTCTGCTTCAAGCTCTCAAAAGTGAAACTCAGAGGGCAAGTGGACTTTGCCTAGGCCCTGGCCTGAGTTCTCCAGACCTGCAGGCACAGTTTTGACTTTGTCATTGAACCTCAGAAAGCCAGGACTCATGCTGGGTCCCTGTTCCACACCCTGCCTGTGCTATCTCCAACAGGGTGACTCACTGTGTGTCACAGCTGCTTTCACCCACCTCACCTTGAACATCTAATATTCCCTACGGAGGACCAAGCTTCCCCCAGGACACAGCCTGTGGGGCTGCAAAGTTGGAAACCCAACTGCCTATCAAGTTCCTCACCTTCATTCTACTGAGGAGAAATTAGAGTCCAGGGAAGGGAGGTTCCCTCTCCCAGATCAGAGCGCCAGGCCAAGGTCCTCCGTGTGTCACTTGATTGCCCTTTTACTTTGGTCCTTTATCTCCCATTGTTTGATAATAAGGGCTTTAATTACACTCAGATGTTTAAAAGAGAAACTTGATAGGCTTCGTGGCATAGTGTGTGTGCACAAAGAGGATGGGCTGGTGAGTCACCGAGGTGGAGGGCACGGCTGGAGATGGAGGGTCTTGGGCGTTGTGTGCGCCTCTTTCTGCCGCTTCTTTAAGATTTCGCTAAATCTTATTTTACTCTAATGTGAAGGGTCTCAAGTTCTCAAGAATCCCGCAGGATCACGCTTAACTTTGAAATCTTCACTTTAATGTAATAACATGAACATATGCAACCGTAGTTGACTTGTCCTGAAGTTTCTTTCCCTCCCTTGGGGTGATCAGCCATTACTGGTCCATCTAATGTGAGGCTGCTGTTCTCATTGTAAAGATACTTGAGTCTAGACAATGTGGAGGGTGAGGGGTTTGCAGAGGAGAGAAAAGCATCGTTGGTGAGGATGTGGGGGCTCTTTACCTTGTTTCTGCCTCAGAACAGAAAGGTCCTCCCCGACTTGTGACGGCTTCTGTTTCCAGGTTTCCGCCTTGGCTTCCCTCAGTGATGAACTGTTACCTGGGAGATGTAAGATAAAATAAACCCTTTCCTCCTCAAGTTGGTTTTGGTCAGTGTTTTTATC